CTGGGTGGGGCTTACAAAGCTTTAGTGGGTTTTAACAACGTCAACAATAATAATAAATATGGCGACAGCTCTAGCAAGGCCGATCTCGTTCCCTGATATTGGTCTGAATGAACAAGACCAAGATGGTAATTCAGCATTGTTAGAGCTTGACAGAGGCAAGTATTTATTGGTGTTATAGCAGCAGCACTGAATGACACACACGAATTATATGACTTTTCGTAATTCTGTGAGAGAAGCTTGTCCCGGTTAGTAACTGGATAACAACCAAGAAGCGAAACATTGTAGCTTAATAGACAACCATGGTACAGTGGTTAGAATGCTGGCATGTAGGTTTTACAACTAGTTTACCATGGGTTGGAATCCTGCCAGTTCCATAGACTACCTGCACATGTCAAAGCCTGCCATAGCATGAACCAGGTCAAGTAAGTAAGTTTGTTCAGGTATACACAAATACAGTTACATAGAATTATCATACATAGCAGCATATGTGTAGAGAACCCAGGATAACCCAAAAAAGTCAGTCAGAGTGACTTATTTCCATTGGGGTCCTTTTACCTCATTATTATAATATAAAGGTTATAATATTTTCTTATTATTCTATAATGAAGATAACATCTTATTATCAACTAAAGCTATTAACACACGAGTCATTAAACTATCTACTACACGAGGGTCATTAAGAATATCTACAATACGAGGGTCATTACTAGGAATAAGGTAAAATTTACACGTATGTTAGCTAAAAAATAGAAAATCATTCCCCTCCCTTTCTGTAGCTACATTCATCAGACACCTTTTGACACTCTTCTTGAACTGGTTCATGCTATGACTGGCTTTGACATGTGCGGGTAGTCTGTTCCATTCCTTTATTGCTGTACAATAAAAGGTGTTTGAAGCCTGGCCACTGACTCTGGCTACTACAAAGTTGTGCTCTCTCCCCCTAGTACTATGATTGCTTTGGTTCCCAACCTTGACAAAATTGACAGCAAGATATTCTGGACACTGTTTGTGAGCAATTTTATAAACAAGATTTAGCTTCAGTTGTTTTACTCTGTCTTCAACATTCAGCATATCCAACTGCAGTAATTCATCCTGGTCTACATGTTCTCTTGGTCCCAGCCCCAGGATGAATCTTACAATTTTGTTCTGGGTGATTTGCAGTCTATCTTTCAGTTTTTTTGTCAAGGCAGAGTACCAAGAAGAGCAAGCGTAATCCATATGGCATTGTATAAGGGCTAGACATAGGGTCCTGCGAGCCTCAGTAGGTAGACACTGTGCTTGTCTATAGAGGAACTTCAGTCTGGCATTCGCTTTCTTTGCTACACTGTTCCCTATCAATTCTCCTGACATGCATGGGTCAAAGGGGATTCCCAGATATTTTACTGATGAAACCAAAGTGATAGGCTCCCCATTACACTGGACATTAAAATTATTTACCCTTCTCAGTTTATGTTTCGTGCCAAAGAGAATGGCTTCAGTTTTCCCGAGGTGTAATGATAGTTTGTTGTCCACTAACCATTTGCTGCAGGACCCCAGTTCCAGTGTTAAAACATTAGCTATATCTTGTGGGTCTTTACCTGACACTAACAGGGCACTGTCATCTGCATACAGTAGGAGTTTGCACTTGACACTGATAGCCATATCATTGACATAACATAAGAATAATAAGGGACCCAGAATACTGCCTTGGGGAACTCCACATGTTATCGGCAGGGGTTCTGATTCCGTTTTGTTGATTTTGACAATTTGTCTCCTGTTGCTAAGGCAGGACTTAAATCAGTCTACAGAACCTATACCGATAGCTTGAAGCTTCTTACATAATACATATATTGTGGTTGACAGTATCAAAGGCCTTTAGCAGGTCTAAGGTTACCATACCTATGAGGTTCCCCTTTGACATTTCAGTTCTCAGGTAATCCATTAGATTAATTAGGGAAGTGTCGGTTGAGTAAGATCTTCTAAAGCCCGATTGATAGCTATGGAGAATGTTGTTGTCATTAAGGTACTTAACTACTTGAGAATACACCGCCCTCTCTAGAATTTTAGATATTATACTGAGTATACTAACAGGCCTATAGTTGCTGACATCAGACCTACTATTTTTCTTGAAGAGAGGAGTAACTCTGGCCTCCTTGAACCCCTCTGGTACGGTATTAGTGGTGATTGATAGATTTATTATATGAGCAATAGGGATTGACAGTTCAGAAGCACCATCTTTTAGGAACTTAGACGGGATGTTATCAGGGCCTGTGCTCTTAGTTGGGTTTAACCTGCTTAGTTCTTTTTGAATAAAGTCATGAGATACACTTACTAGTTGACAACTGTTTGGGGTTACCCCTTTATTGGTATAGTATGTTTGAAACTTATCAGAGTCTGTGTTAAAGGTATTTGATGCAGTTGGTAGTTTACTTACTAGTGTTGATGCAACAGATGTGTATTTTTTTTTTTTATCACACTGGCCGATTCCCACCAAGGCAGGGTGGCCCGAAAAAGAAAAACTTTCACCATCATTCTCTCCATCACTGTCTTGCCAGAAGGGTGCTTTACACTACAGTTTTTAAACTGCAACATTAACACCCCTCCTTCAGAGTGCAGGCACTGTACTTCACATCTCCAGGACTCAAGTCCGGCCTGCCGGACTTGAGTGTAGTAGGATGTGTAGTAGGAATTAAAGCAATTTGCCACCTTAGATGTTTCATGGCATACCTCATTATCGATAGTGAGTACTATGTTAGACCTATCTACTGGCTTATGGCTATACCCCAACTGTTTTAATTGTTGCCAGAGCTTTCTGGGGTTATGCTTATACTCTTCAATTTTTGAGCAATAGTGCTTTGCCTTTGCTCCTTTTATAAGTCTCTGTACTCTGTTCCTCACCCTTTGGAATTCATTTAGTGCTGCAATATCCTGTCTGTTTGCTTTAAATCTTTTTAGCAGCTGGTCTCTGAATTTCATATTATCTAATATTTCAGTAGTCATCCAGGGTTCAGTTCTTCGTTTAATCCTAACCTCTTAACTGGTGCAATATTATCAAGGATGGTAGTGAACATTGTTTTGAATTTTTCCCAGGCATCGTTTACGTCGTGCAACTTGTTATCTCTGTCCAGTCACAATTGTGTAGCCTATTTACCAGTGTTTCTTTACTGTAGTTTCTAGTTGACCTCATTTTTATTGTCCTGTGTAGGCCTATCCTATCCCTAGTGATTTTCCTGGTGCAGTAAATGATGAAATGATCACTAAGACCTGTGGTAATGACGCCTGACTGACTAATGTTCTCAACGCGGTTACAAAGTATGTGGTCAGTTAGGGTGGCTGAGAACTGTGTGAGAACTGTACCTCATGAATAAGACTGCAGAATGGAAGGAGAGTAATCTCTTGTATGAAAATAACGAATTTTACCTCTCCCCTAGTATATCTTCTTTTATTGTTACTGCTTTTACATAGTTAAGGTACTTATCTGTGTTTAAATCTTAAATATAAATAATAAATGTCTCAAGGACCCAAATGGAAATAAGTCACTTCGACTTTTTTGGGTTATCCTGGGTTCTCTACACATAAGCTGCTATGTATGATAATCTGTGTAACTCTGTATACCTGAACAAACTTACTTACTTGCCATCCTCATGGGAGGTGTGCTGATCCTCATGAGGTGCTTTTGATCCAAGGCATTAGACTTGTCCTTGCCTTTCGTGGATAGACCCTGATTGCCTTCCAATTCCTAGACTATTATAACCCCTATGGGTTTAATGCTTCTCAATAAATAAAATGCAATTTTGCATATCTTTTGAATTCATACTATAATTATAAAGTTTGCCATGTTTCCCACAATTCCTTCATACTGCATCTTGCTTTTCTGCATTCCAGACAGGTATTTGGCTCTTATAACTAGTTTATATAGCACACTTTATTCAAGGATGGCGGGGGAGCACTGTTTGACCCTTATAGGTTTAGCACTTAATTATGATTTTTTTTTTTCAACAGGTCGGCCACCTCCCACTGAGGCAGGGTGACCCAAAAAAAAAAAAAAAAGAAATACTTTCATCATCATTCAACACTTTCACCTCACTTACACGTAATCACTGTCTTTGCAGAGGCACTCAGGTATGACAGTTTAGAAGTCTCTCCAAACTGTCAATATCCCAGATCCTCCTTTAAAGTGCAGGCATTGTATGTACTTCCCATTTCCAGGACTCAAGTCCGGCTAAATCTATAATAACCGGTTTCCCTGAATCCCTTCACTAAATATTACCCTACTCACACTCCAACAGCTTGTCATGTCCCAAAAACCATTCGTCTCCATTTACTCCTATCTAACACGCTCATGCACGCTTGCTGGAAGTCCAAGCTACTCACCCACAAAACCTCCTTTACCCCCTCATGCCAATCTTTGCAAGGACAACCCCTACCTGTCATTCCTTCCCCTACAGATTTATACACTCTCCAAGTCATTCTACTTTGATCCATTCTCTATAAATGACCAAACCACCTCAACAACCCCTCTTCAGCCCTCTGACTAATACTTTTAGTAACTCCACACCTCCTCCTAATTTCTCACTCCGAATTCTCTGCATAATATTTACACCACACATTGCCCTTAGACAGGACATCACTGCCTCCAGCCATCTCCTCGCTGCAGCATTTACAACCCAAGCTTCACACCCATATAAGAGTGATGTTACCACTATACTAACAGTTTTCTTCTTTTTCTTTTTAGTAAACTATAAGGGAAAAGGTGTTACTAGCCCATTGTTCCCAGCATTTTCGTTGACTTTTACAACATGCATAGCTTACGGAGGAAAGATTCTTATTCCACTTCCCCATAGATATGAAATGAAAAGCACTAAGATCAAAGAAAACTCAGATGAGTGTGTATACATAAACATGTACATGTATGTGTAGTGTGACCTAAGTGTAAGTGGAGGTAGCAAGACGTACCTGAAATCTTGCATGTTTAGGAGACAAAAAAAGTTATGATTATACTAATAATAATCAAGGAGGGGGGGATGTCTTGCTACTGATGAAAGGCTCTTGATTCAAGGAATTGAAGCCATCCTCTCCTTCCTTGAATGAAACCCTTTACCTCCAATTCTCCAGGTACTATATGACTCTCTACAGGTTTAACACTTCTCCTTAATACTATTATATAGGTTACAGAACAGTGATTGATACAAGTTAAAGTTAATTATTAAGCACACAGACATAGTGCCACACTACACACAGCTGCTTATTTTTATCTGTACTTCAAATTTAATAGTTTGCACTGTAGCATATTATGGAAAATTTATTTTAATCTTATCCCTGACTACTAAAATCCTTTGAATTATCATCACATTCAGGGCTACAAAGTAGTATATCCATTGACAATAATAAAGGTAGAATTATTGAGAATATGTTAAGTAAAAAGACACATGTGCAACTAATGTAACATTGTATGGTGGCAACATTTTGCTCTCCAGAAGCTTTGTCAAGCCATTATGGCTTGACAATATATGTACGTTCAGCAGCCACAAATGATTAGTGTTAAATTTGACACAGTAGTATATGACATCAATAGTTACAAATTTGTTACTGTATTGTGTGTTGTACATACAGTTCAGTACAGTTTTATACATGTCTTAAAATTTTAGGCAAAGCTTGAATTGAGAATAATATTTTGTATTGCTTTCAGGACTGAAGTCTTCAAGGACAGGAGAACAGTGTGAAGCAATATCAAAATTTCCAGCACTATTTGAAAAGTATCCCTTTCCCATTTTAATTAACTCAGCTCTACTGAAGCTGGCTGAGGTATTCCGTCAGGAAACACCAGGGTATGTTTTTGTTGTAACATATCTTGTTTAACCCTTTGACTGTCACAAGCCCCTTTCTGAAACTGTCATTCTATGTCGCAAAATTTTTGGGAAAAAAAAATTATTTTTTCTTATGAAATGATAGAGAATCTTTTTCTGATGGTAATGACACCAAAAGTACAAAATTTGGTCGAAAACTCACGGAATTATGCTCCCGCAAAGTTAGCGGTCTCGGCGACATATGCAGATCAGTGATTTTGCCGACTTTGAGCCCTGTTTTTGGCCAATTCCGTTGTTCCAGTTGACCAAACTCATAGCTATTTTTTTAGAACTCCATTTTTCTATCAATTGAGTACAAGAAACTGCCCATTTACTGATTTGAACTACTCAATAAAGTGGTCAGAAATTGGCAGTTTGGCCAATTTCACGCAAATTAAAAAGATGCCAATTTCAAAATAGGGTCCAGGATAAACAATGTAGACATTCTTGGCACTAAAATAACATATCCTCTGTTCATTAGTCACGTCTCTAGGTCCCTCTTATATTACTATTGCTTTCTATTTTGATTTTTTATTCATATAAAAAATACAAAATTTACTGTTATGCAGTCTACTGCATTATTGTAAAAATGGTATAAATAATATCAGTGCACTAGTGAAAGAATATTAGGCTCCCCAGTTGATGTGTATTGGACGTGTGGTGTGATTTGCTTAGTCTTGAACATTTGGCTACTTTGAGCTCAATTTCAAGGTCATTTTCATCATGAAACTAATCAAAATCATCTCTATTTCTGCAATTTAATCCAAAAAAAGATCAGTTTATTTTTTCTCATTATGCACTGCGTGCTGCAGGATTTTATTTATGTGGTGCACACTGACCACACAGACCCATTCTCTCACATGTGGGCCTACCAGCTTTCTCCTGCTTGATTTGAAGCCGCTAGAGTTATTGAGTATATATACGTCCGAAACACTGGCTCGTAAGACGTATCTATACGACCAAAATAGTCAAAGGGTTAAAGTGGGATTCATTACCAGTAATTATTAAGAGTTGTAATAAGTATGCATGCACTACAAAAGAAGTTATATGCAGTACATACTGTAATGTACAGTATGTATTAGTTTTGATCAAAATATTTAGATGAGCCTTACATCTTGTAACTAATTTTGCAGGGGTTTTCCACCCTTATAGCTCAGCCTGAGGTCAGGCTTCCCTTTTAATTATATATATTTTTTTTTTATTATCACACTGGCCGATTCCCACCAAGGCAGGGTGGCCCGAAAAAGAAAAACTTTCACCATCATTCACTCCATCACTGTCTTGCCAGAAGGGTGCTTTACACTACAGTTTTTAAACTGCAACATTAACACCCCTCCTTCAGAGTGCAGGCACGGTACTTCCCATCTCCAGGACTCAAGTCCGGCCCACCGGTTTCCCTGAACCCCTTCATAAATGTGACTTTGCTCACACTCCAACAGCACGTCAAGTATTAAAAACCATTTGTCTCCATTCACTCCTATCAAACACGCTCACGCATGCCTGCTGGAAGTCCAAGCCCCTCGCACACTAAACCTCCTTTACCCCCTCCCTCCAACCTTTCCTAGGCCGACCCCTACCCCGCCTTCCTTCCACTACAGTCGGATACACTCTTGAAGTCATTCTGTTTCGCTCCATTCTCTCTACATGTTCGAACCACCTCAACAACCCTTCCTCAGCTCTCTGGACAACAGTTTTGGTAATCCCGCACCTCCTCCTAACTTCCAAACTACGTATTCTCTGCATTATATTCACACCACACATTGCCCTCAGACATGACATCTCCACTGCCTCCAGCCTTCTCCTCGCTGCAACATTAATCACCCATGCTTCACACCCATATAAGAGCGTTGGTAAAACTATACTCTCATACATTCTCCTTTTTGCCTCCAAGGGCAAAGTTCTTTGTCTCCACAGACTCCTAAGTGCACCACTCACCCTTTTCCCCTCATCAATTCTATGATTCACCTCATCTTTCATAGACCCATCCGCTGACACGTCCACTCCCAAATATCTGAATACATTCACCTCCTCCATACTCTCTCCCTCCATTCTGATATCCAATCTTTCATCACCTAATCTTTTTGTTATCCTCATAACCTTACTCTTTCCTGTATTCACTTTTAATTTTCTTCTTTTGCATACCCTACCAAATTCATCCACCAATCTCTGCAACTTCTCTTCAGAATCTCCCAAGAGCACAGTGTCATCAGCAAAGAGCAACTGTGACAACTCCCACTTTATGTGTGATTCTTTATCTTTTAACTCCATGCCTCTTGCCAAGACCCTCGCATTTACTTCTCTTACAACCCATCTATAAATATATTAAACAACCACGGTGACATCACACATCCTTGTCTAAGGCCTACTTTTACTGGGAAATAATTTCCCTCTTTCCTACATACTCTAACTTGAGCCTCACTATCCTCGTAAAAACTCTTCACTGCTTTCAGTAACCTACCTCTATACCATACACCTGCAACATCTGCCACATTGCCCCCTATCCACCCTGTCATATGCCTTTTCCAAATCCATAAATGCCACAAAGACCTCTTTTGCCTTATCTAAATACTGTTCACTTATATGTTTCACTGTAAACACCTGGTCCACACACCCCCTACCTTTCCTAAAGCCTCCTTGTTCATCTGCTATCCTATTCTCCGTCTTACTCTTAATTCTTTCAATAATAACTCTACCATACACTTTACCAGGTATACTCAACAGACTTATCCCCTATAATTTTTGCACTCTCTTTTGTCCCCTTTGCCTTTATACAAAGGAACTATGCATGCTCTCTGCCAATCCCTAGGTACCTTACCCTCATCCATACATTTATTAAATAATTGCACCAACCACTCCAAAACTATATCCCCACCTGCTTTTAATATTTCTATCTTTATCCCATCAGTCCCTGCTGCCTTACCCCCTTTCATTTTACCTACTGCCTCACGAACTTCCCCCACACTCACAACTGGCTCTTCCTCACTCCTACAAGATGTTATTCCTCCTTGCCCTATACACGAAATCACAGCTTCTCTATCTTCATCAACATTTAACAATTCCTCAAAATATTCCCTCCATCTTCCCAATACTTCTAACTCTCCATTTAATAACTCTCCTCTCCTATTTTTAACTGACAAATCCATTTGTTCTCTAGGCTTCCTTAACTTCTTAATCTCACTCCAAAACTTTTTCTTATTTTCAACAAAATTTGTTGATAACATCTCACCCACTCTCTCAGTTGCTCTCTTTTTACATTGCTTCACCACTCTCTTAACCTCTCTCTTTTTCTCCATATACTCTTCCCTCCTTGCATCACTTCTACTTTGTAAAAACTTCTCATATGCTAACTTTTTCTCCCTTACTACTCTCTTTACATCATCATTCCACCAATCGCTCCTCTTTCCTCCCGCACCCACTTTCTTGTAACCACAAACTTCTGCTGAACACTCTAACATTACATTTTTAAACTTACCCCATACATCTTCGACCCCATTGTCTATGCTCTCATTAGCCCATCTATCCTCCAATAGCTGTTTATATCTTACCCTAACTGCCTCCTCTTTTAGTTTATAAACCATCACCTCTCTCTTCCCTGATGCTTCTATTCTCCTTGTATTCCATCTACCTTTTACTCTCAGTGTAGCTACAACTAGAAAGTGATCTGATATATCTGTGGCCCCTCTATAAACATGTACATCCTGAAGTCTATTCAACAGTCTTTTATCTACCAATACATAATCCAACAAACTACTGTCATTTTGCCCTACATCATATCTTGTATACTTATTTATCCTCTTTTTCTTAAAATATGTATTACCTATAACTAAACCCCTTTCTTTACAAAGTTCAATCAAAGGGCTCCCATTATCATTTACACCTGGCACCCCAAACTTACCTACCACACCCTCTCTAGAAGTTTCTCCTACTTTAGCATTCAGGTCCCCTACCACAATTACTCTCTCACTTGGTTCAAAGGCTATATGTATTATATGTATGTATGTATACCCCTAATTAATGTTTTTATTATATTTCTTTATGCAATCACTTTCAAACTTCCATCATAATATTTATGTAAGAAAGTAGAGCACTGCAGTAGGTCTATTGGTTTTGTATAGTTTTGTTTTCATAACACTCAAAATTTTCTAGATACCAGTGACCATCTGATCAATTTATATCCAAGTAGGTAATTATATACTCATTGGCTTCATTCATCTGTAGGGACTAGTAAATCCCTGAAAGTTGCATGGTGGAGTATACAAAATTTTCTAGGTAAGGGCACTGATAGGATGGCATAAACCTAGGTAAACAACCAAGGCAGTGTCAGTCACACTTTGTTTTATCCTCTTTCTAATAATCGCAAATATCTTAAGTATTATGTAGCTTTTCTTTTGACATCCGCTATTTTCTTAAAAAATATTTGGAGCTGGTCTTTATATCTTATGTACCACAGTTTGCACTCGTAACATATTCCACAGTCTTTTTATGTCATCTGTTTTATAGCTTTTTAAAGGTTTCTCTTTACCTTCTCCTTTCCCCTTTATAATTTACTTTACAGTAATAACTTATTTAGTCATGGTATTGTGCCTTTATATTCTTTAATTTGTTTCTTGTAATTTTGTTCCATCTATTGTACTTTATTGCAGAACTTTTAGTAAAGAAGAATTACTTTCTTTGAAAATTTTCTGGTTAAATAAATGCTAATTTTCTTTTATTTCAGGAGCAACTTTGTACGTGTGTGTGTTGTTGAAGTTGTGGAGTCATGTGGTCGCCACTTAGACAAGCTCATCAATGTGGATGAGTTCCTCCGCCGTATTACCACTGTCATGCATTCAAACGATCCAGTGAGTTGAAATTATCATAAGGAATAATGCAAGCAATTTCTGCTCATTCTCTTCATCTAGCCCTGTTACTCCTGCAGTCATTAAATACAGTATTCATGGTCTGGTATCAAGTTCTACATAAACATTTATGGTCATCAAGGGATTAAAAAAATTGCAGTTTTTGTTTGTAGCATCTAAGTATTATTCTAATAGTTGTTCTTTCTGAATGACCTACAGTTGGCACGGGCCCTCACCCTTCGCACTCTGGGATGGATGTCAGGGGTTGTGGGAGAGAACAGACGAGTGCAGCATTTGATACGTGAAGCATTAGATGCCAAGGAAGCAGTGGAGCTTCAGGCTGCTATTATGGCTGCAGAAAAATATGCTGCAAAGTCTAAGTATGTTCAAAAAAATGTTATTGTTTTTAAGCAATAGTGAAATAAATATTTTTTAAACTCTGAATGAACATCTTCCATGCATGTAAATAATATACAGTCAGCCCCTGTAACTTTGTGGGCATCATGTTCCTGGAGGACACACAAATCTAAAATCTGGAAATAACTAAAAATTACATATGCAAATATTAATAAATTTTGCTTCAGAGTTGGGCTCACTTTGTGCTTTAGAAATAATGTCCAGAAAAGCCAATGAGTATATTTTGAATGAAATCCCCCAAAATTGACTCCATGACAAACTCCCAGGAATGATTGAATATATTTGCAGATTACCCATCAGTAAAAATGTTAAGATAATCAAATTTCTTGAATAGAGAACCCCATGGATTTGGAGGGACCAACTGTACTAGTTTCATGATAGTGTTAGTTATGGCAATTATATATTCAACAGAACATTTGCTATGAACATGTGTGAACGTCTCATCCACATGATTGGTGGATTGGCAACACCAGTTGATGTGAAGCTGCAGCTTATACAAGTGTTTCAACATATGCATCATGATGCTGAAACAGCAGCAACTGTAAGAATAATTTTATTTTATGAATACAGTATGTGTTAGCTTGTTAGATTGGGGTGAGAGAAGACAAGTTATTGTAGGGATTTGAATTACTGTTGGAGTATGAATAATGTAACATTTATGAAGGGATTCAAGGAAACTTATTACCTGGACTTGAGTACTGGAGCTGGAGGTAGAAAGTACAGTGTCTGCACTTTGAGAGGTGGGTATGTTACAGTTCAGAAGGTCATTGCACTTGTGATGTGTACATACTCCTGGTAAAATAGCTGTTGAATGAATGATACTGATTGTTTCCTTGTTGTGGGTCACTCTACGTTGGTGCAAGATGGCCAACATAGTAAAAAAAATCCAGTTGCATTTTATTGCTTTTATTATCTTCCTGTAATTTTGTGGCACCTGGGCTAAACTATGTCAAACAGATAAAGTATGCACAAAAGCATTTACTTTTGCATTTAGTGATATGTAATATGGTGTGAATGATATCTATTTATGAAATTTTTGAGAGTTCAGCTTTGCAGATAAACACCTGTGTTAGAACTGTATATAATACTGTATAACAGTCTGTCTGTTTGTGTAATTTTTAAGATTCCAACTTTGCCATTAAACATGTGTATTAGAGCTGTATGTAATACTGTTGGTTTAGAAAGACACGTAAGCAAACACTATAACATATTTATTAGAAAACGTTTCGGTCCTGGGACCTTGATCACTTCTAACATACAGAGGTAGAAAGACATTATATATATAGGCGGAGAGTGAGATGTGACGCACGTGACCTGAGGAATGTCATAAGAACATAAGAATGGAGGAACACTGCAGAAGGCCTACTGGCCCATGCGAGGCAGGTCCTTATCAAAACAACCTCTGCCTATGATGAGGACCAGTAGACGATGAAATCATGTGACTCCTGTGTTGTTGGGTTGGTGCTGCTTAAGTATCATGTATGCCAATGTTTTTGAAATTTTGTAGTTTCCAGTGTTGCGTTCTATAGTGTCGGTGACGGTGATTAGTGAGGCTTCTAGGCACCGTCGGCGTCTGAGGTCTGGTTCGATGAGAACGAGTTGTGCCTCGTTCCAGTTCATCAAATGCCCCGTGGAGTCTCTGTGGAGGACACAGGCGTACCTTACATCGTCTCTGTTAGAGGCATTTCGATGCTCATTCAGGCGGACTGCAAGATCTCTGCCTGTCTCGCCTACATATTTCTTGGGACAGAACCCACAGGGGATAGTGTAGACGCCTGCTGTAGAAGTTAGAGGTGTGGGGCTGCGTTTAGTAGTGAGGTCTTTGATAGAGGATGTGTTTATGGTGGAAACGTTGATGTTACTCATAGCAAGTGCCCGGCGAGTATTCGTGGCAACATCGCCACATGGGAGTACTATGAACTGTTTAGGGGGCTGTTCCGTGGGCGATTTGTTGAGGATAGCTTGTGCCTTGAGTCTGCAATCTCGGATGAAGAAAGATGGGAACTACTAAACGCAGCCCCACACCTCTAACTTCTACAGCAGGCGTCTACACTATCCCCTGTGGGTTCTGTCCCAAGAAATATGTAGGCGAGACAGGCAGAGATCTTGCAGTCCGCCTGAATGAGCATCGAAATGCCTCTAACAGAGACGATGTAAGGTACGCCTGTGTCCTCCACAGAGACTCCACGGGGCATTTGATGAACTGGAACGAGGCACAACTCGTTCTCATCGAACCAGACCTCAGACGCCGACGGTGCCTAGAAGCCTCACTAATCACCGTCACCGACACTATAGAACGCAACACTGGAAACTACAAAAATTTCAAAAACATTGGCATACATGATACTTAAGCAGCACCAACCCAACAACACAGGAGTCACATGATTTCATCGTCTACTGGTCCTCATCATAGGCAGAGGTTGTTTTGATAAGGACCTGCCTCGCATGGGCCAGTAGGCCTTCTGCAGTGTTCCTCCATTCTTATGTTCTTATGACATTCCTCAGGTCACGTGCGTCACATCTCACTCTCCGCCTATATATATAATGTCTTTCTACCTCTGTATGTTAGAAGTGATCAAGGTCCCAGGACCGAAACGTTTTCTAATAAATATGTTATAGTGTTTGCTTACGTGTCTTTCTAAACCAACTTGTCGGTATTTATTACCAAGGTTTATACCATGTAATACTGTACTGTATACCATAATTATCAATGAATTGCAGTCTGTAATATTTAAAAAATTTGCTGAACATTCTCTGTGGAAATTAATTCTGTTCAAGGTAGGTCTTTCTCAGAGGAGGGTCCTTGACGCTGTTGAAGGGTTCATGGTCCAAGGAAATTAACTTGACCTCATCTTCAGTGTATTGGATCTGATTGCCTCCCATCACCCTAGGTGGTGTATGACCACAATTAGTTTGGCATTCTTTTACCCCCCTCCTCTCCATGAATGCAATAATAATAATAGTAATAATAATAATAATAATAATAATAATAATAATAATAATAATAATAATACTGTACTGTTCAAGGTGAGGAGTCTGTGCCTAGAGTTATTGAAGGAGTATCCAACTCAGCGAGTCGTCATCACAACCTTACACACACTCACTCAGTTGGCTGCTCATATTTTGGTCGACATTCCTCAGCAAGTTAGTTTCAGTGTATTCACTTTCACTCAGTAGCTTGTAGGTGAAAATAAAAGATTGACATTTTGTTTTTGACAATTTTTGTGAAATTATAAGGAATAATGCAAGCAATTCCTGCTCATTCTCTTCATCTAGCCCTGTTGCTCCTGCAACCAATTAAATACAGTATTCATGATCTGGTACCAAGTTCCACATAAACATTTATGGTCATCAAGGGATTAAAAACAATGCCTTTTAAAAAAACTAAAATTCTTCTGTTTATATTATGCCTAAATGTGGGGCTACTAGTTGACCATGATGCTACTGAGTAAGAAAGGTGTTATAATGCTATTCAGTATATTTCCAACAATAGTTTTATAATACTTTTCCATCATTTATAAGAGAGTCTTTCCCAGTTTTATGAAATTATCACTAGCAGCAGAAATACATTACTTAATTTCTTTCTTTCATTATCTTGTAAGCTCTTTAGGCTGTTTCTTCATTGCCACTGTGGAAAATGGACATCTTTCAAGTAGACATGAAAGGGAATTAGTGCATACCTTCACATTATGTCATGTTGCATACTGTATGAGGGTCCTCTTAGAGATACAGTATATTGGTACAGTTGGAAGATTACATTGCAAAATTCAATATTATTTTCTATTACAGTTTATTACAACCATTTGCCATTTTATTATACTGATATGTTTTAAATATTTTTCCCAGGGATATGGATTTTTTTTTTTTTATTATTATCACACTGGCCGATTCCCACCAAGGCAGGGTGGCCCGAAAAAGAAAAACTTTCACCATCATTCACTCCATCACTGTCTTGCCAGAAGGGTGCTTTACACTACAGTTTTTAAACTGCAACATTAACCCTTTCAGGGTCCGTCCCGTAGATCTACGGCTTTACGTTCAGGGTCCAAACCGTAGATCTACGCCATCAGAGTGAGCTGAGCTCATGGCGTAGATCTACGGTTTGGACCCTGAACGTAAAGCCGTAGATCTACGGGACGGACCCTGAAAGGGTTAATGTTGCAGTTTAAAAACTGTAGTGTAAAGCACCCTTCTGGCAAGACAGTGATGGAGTGAATGATGGTGAAAGTTTTTCTTTTTCGGGCCACCCTGCCTTGGTGGGAATCGGCCAGTGTGATAATAATGATAAAAAAAAAAATGGATTTTTTAATGTCTGTTTTTTTAATAGCTCTTATGTACTTTTTAAAGAATAAATACATGTGTGAGCATGTTACATAGGAGTGAATTAAGACAAATGGTTTTTGAGACCTGATGAGCTGTTGGAGTGTGAGCAAGGTAATATTTTGTGAAGGAATTCAAGGAAACTGGTTAGCCAGACTTCAGTCCTGGAGGTAGGAAGTACAGTGCCTACACTTTAAAGGAGGGGTTTGGGATATTGGCTGTTTGGAGTGATATCTAAACTGTCATATCTAAGCACTTTTGCAAAGACATTGATTATGTTTGAATGATGGTGAGAGTGTCTCTTCCTTTTTTGGGTCACCCTGCCTTGGTGGGAGACATCCGTCATGTTGAAAAAAATACAGTACACATTTTTAACATGTTTTCATTATTGACTATTAAAGCATTAGTTTTTCTCATTAATTTCAATACTCGCTTTTGTCATAGGTTGACCTCTTGATTGGCTACTTGGAGAGTGAGGCTCGCTTAGGAGTTCGTCAGGCAGTGCTTGGAGAACTTGGGTTCTTGGCAGGAGCTGCACCACATGCTTGGTCTGCAGACAATGTTGAGACATTGGTTAAGTTTACACGGTGTTCTCGCCATAATCCTGCTATGACTACAACAGCTCTCTCTGTTTTGGCATCACTAACTGCAGCTCCAGCCCTGCCTCGCATCACACTAACTCCAGGTAGATTATGAATTTCGTTGATATGAAAAATCATTGCTTTATGTGACATCAGACTGGTCACTATATATCTTCAGTCTTCTCCTGTTTCTAATACATTATGGTTTAATGCACCATGGATTCATAGACTAATGTCTCCTAACAGCAGCTGCTGTTGGGATGTTTCCAGAATTGTCTGTTACCATTTTCTAAACTTGATTATTGTTACCATCTGCTAGGTAAATTGCTTTCGGAATTGTCCATTATTGTTTTGATTTTGGCAGAAAATTTCATTATTCGTATTTAATAGACAATTGGTAGTATCAGACATCCTCTCCCTTGGATTAGTTCATTAAATCAAGATTTAACTGCACTAGTGTGTCTCATTTTATGCAGTAGATGCTTTCTAGGCTCATGACAACTATGCTAAGCTTAATCAAGACATCTACACTTTATTCCTTGCAGCAAGAATCCTCAGTATAACTTGTGAGCCACTCTAATCACGTACTGTAAACGAACAATATATCTCATGTTCAGAATTACCATTAGAAATTGGACATCACATGATGGTGAATTTGCATGATGTGAAACTGTATAAATCGAGGGGAACCTGTATTTATTTGTTAAAACATGTTACAAGCATGAACTCAAATTCAAATCCAGCATAGGTAAGGGGACATAGGGGACAGTGATTGAGTATTTGTTGTTTGTCTTTAGAATTAGAATTCTGTGGAATACTTGGTCCAGTGGCATTTACTTTTTAGTTATTGAACTGATATGTACACATTTGTACTGCATTATGAGATTTGGCATGATGAGCTTTTGTATACAGCCTCTCCTCACTTGGCGACGTACTCATTTACTGACGACTCGGACTTACAACGGGCTCTAGCCAATGTGCATACCTAAATAATGTATGTTAGAACTGATTTCCTGTATTCTGTTTATTACAATATACAGTACACTACTGTATAAGCATTTAAAATATATCAGAAATGTTATAAATGGTGCAAAGGTGACATTAAAACAATATCAAAGATGGTTGACACAAACCCACTACCATTATAGTGTGCTCCTCACTTAGTGACGAATTAGTTTACCAACGTGGTCTTAGGAACAGAACTCCATTGTTAAGTGAGGAGAGGCTGTATTAAATTTTAGTTACTGTAATACAGATAAAAAGCTAAGATTAAATTAAATAATTGTAGAATTTAATTATTTTCAGTGACTAATTTTGACAACAGATTTAAGTTAAATTTTGAATTTTTACAGAATGTGCTCTCGTAGATTTGTGCAGAGAATGTGTTTATGACAGCAACATTCGTGTAGCCTGTAGAGCCATTCAACTATTTACCAACATAGCTATCTATATGTAAGTAACAGTAAATGTTTCTCTTGCTTTGTTGGTAATACTAATTTTTTTTTTTTTTGTTAAAAAATGCAGTATACATTGGAATTAAGTATGTTCTCTTTGCCCAAGGTTTGAGGAACAGAAGACAAGTGTGGTATGTGAAGAGGCTCACTGTGCTGCTCTAAGTCTGCTACAGAGTGTTGTCAGTGCCTCACAGGTGGATGAAGCAACCAAGCCTGGCCCAGAAGAGTTCATTCCTGCTGGACTTCGTACCTGTTTAGTAAGAAGGCATACACTTATTCTTATTTGTCATTTGCATATTTTTCTTTTTTTTTCAACAAACTGGTGATATCCCACCGAGGCAGGTAACCTAAAAAGAAAAACGAAAGTTTCTCTTTTTAAATTTAGTAATGTATACATAAAAAGAGGTTACTAGCTCTTTGCTCTAGGCATTTTAGTTGCCTCTTGTATACACGAAAAGGGGTTACTAGCTCTTTACTCTCAGCATTTTAGTTGCCTCTTACGGCATGCAAGGCATACGGAGGAAGAATTCTGTTCCACTTCCCCATGGAGAGAAGAGGAAATAGAGAAAAACAAGAACTAGTAAGAAAATAGAAGAAAACCCAGAGGGGTCTGTATACATGTGCTTGTACATTCATGTGTAGTGTGACCTAAGTGTAAGTAGAAATAGCAGGATGTACCTGAAACCTTGCATGTTTCTTGTTCTTTCTTTAAACACACCGGCCATATCCCACCAAGGCGGGATGGCCCAAAAGAAAAAACGAAAGATTCTCCTTTTACTTCCTTTCAACACACCAGCCGTATCCCACCAAGGCGGGGTGGCCCAAAAGAAAAAAACGAAAGTTTCTCCTTTTACATTTAGTAATATATACAGAAGAAGTGGGTTACTAGCCCCTTGCTCCTGGCATTTTAGTCGCCTCTTACAACACACATGGCTTACGGAGGATTCTGTTCCACTTCCCCATGGAGGTAAGAGGAAATAAACAAGAACAAGAACTAGTAAGAAAATAGAAGAAAACCCAGAGGGGTGTGTGTATATATATGCTTGTACATGTATGTGTAGTGTGACCTAAGTGTAAGTAGAAGTAGCAAGACGTACCTGAAATCTTGCATGTTTCTTTTCTTTCAACACACCAGCCATATCCCACCAAGGCGGGGTGGCCCAAAAGGAAAAACGGAAGTTTCTTCTTTTACATTTAGTAATATATACAGGAGAAGGGGTTACTAGCCCCTTGCTCCTGGCATTTTAGTCGCCTCTTACAACATGCATGGCTTACGGAGGAAGAATTCTGTTCCACTTCCCCAGGAAGGTAAGAGGAAATAAACAAGAACAAGAACTAGTAAGAAAATAGAAGAAAACCCAGAGGGGTGTGTATATATATATGCTTGTACATGTATGTGTAGTGTGACCTAAGTGTAAGTAGAAGTAGCAAGACATACCTGAAACCTTGCATGTTTATGAGACAAAAAATACACCAGCAGTCCTTCTTTCTTTCTTTCAACACACCGGCCGTATCCCACCGAGGCAGGGTGGCCCAAAAGGAAAAACGGAAGTTTCTCCTTTTACATTTAGTAATATATACAGGAGAAGGGGTTACTAGCCCCTTGCTCCTGGCATTTTAGTCGCCTCTTACAACATGCATGGCTTACGGAGGAAGAATTCTGTTCCACTTCCCCATGAAGGTAAGAGGAAATAAACAAGAACAAGAACTAGTAAGAAAATAGAAGAAAACCCAGAGGGGTGTGTATATATATATGCTTGTACATGTATGTGTAGTGTGACCTAAGTGTAAGTAGAAGTAGCAAGACGTACCTGAAACCTTGCATGTTTATGAGACAAAAAAGACACCAGCAGTCCTTCTTTCTTTCTTTCAACACACCGGCTGTATCCCACCGAGGCAGGGTGGCCCAAAATGAAAAACGAAAGTTTCTCCTTTTACATTTAGTAATATATACAGGAGAAGAGGTTACTAGCCCCTTGCTCCCGGCATTTTAGTCGCCTCTTACAACACGCATGGCTTACGGAGGAAGAATTCTGTTCCACTTCCCCATGGAGATAAGAGGAAATAAACAAGAATAAGAACTAGAAAGAAAATAGAAGAAAACCCAGAGGGATGTGTATATATATGCTTGTACAAGTATGTGTAATGTAACCTAAGTGTAAGCAGAAATAGCAAGATGTGCCTGAAATCTTGCATGTTCATGAGAGAAAAAAGGACACCAGCAGTCCTACCATCATGTAAAACAATTACAGGTTTCAATTTCACACTCACTTGGCAGGATGGTTGTACCTTCCTGGGTGGTTGCTGTCTACCAACCTACTACCTAGTCATTTGCATATACAGTACTGAAGTAAAATACTCTAACATTTAGTAAAGTTCTGTCCATATACAATATAAATAGTTTGCTATAATTATATTGTGATCCATAAAATCAAGAATGCATCAGTAAATATAATCACTGTATTCATTTTTCTTGCTGTACAGTGTAGCATTATTCTCAAAGAAAGACTGGTATATTTTTGTAAATAAAACTATGCCTTTTCGAATCTGCTTTTTTTTGAAGCATAATATTATGCTGAACAGAATATTTTCTGCAACTTTAAAGAATGATGTTCATATTAATCATTGGGTGTCAGTAGATTCTGCATATGTTAGCATGGTTCAGTAGGCCCTGCATATGTTAGCATGGGTCAGTGGGCCTAGTACAGTTATCTTCTGTCTTTTTATGTTCAATCCATTCTATGTATTGTAAGTTAAAAATGCACATTTGTGTTAAGGGTATTGCTCTTGGCTTAATTCACCCCATTTCTTTAAGGATTGAGGATACGTATTATGATAAAAATTATTTGTGTTTAGAATAGTTATCTCACTTATCCATTCTACGGTTTATTCTGTGGAATAAACTACAGTATTAATCTGTCTTTCCTGACACCTATGAGCTCAAATCCTTTTAGGGAAGTATGAGAAGTAATCTTCTCTGTAATAGCTAATGTTCAATCCTTTTTTTTTTCCACTATCTAAGAATTAATGAATCAATGATTCTTGCCTGTGTTGTGGCCTATTCTATACAAGAAAATCATCACCATATTTGAGTAGATACTGATTTCATTTTTTATATTAGTTTGATTGACAGTTTATATACAGTCTAAAAGTTTTATATTTACTCATTTTTTTTTATTGCTATAAGGTGTGTACTGTACTGCTGGCCCAGACTAAATCCAATATCATGAGTGACTTAGCAATCACACTCACTGACATTTTGGCTGATGGCATACTCTCAGGTAAGTTCCTTATATTTAAACATCTTTGAATATGTATAAGAAAAAAAAAGGTTTGTGCAGCATTATCAGATATTCATTCAGTCAAATGCATGTAAATGGAAGCCACCGACGCCACCCAAGGAACAACAACAACAACAACAAACATGGCTGACTCCCCCTCCAACTCCACTCCCTTCAAAGGATTCATCCATGATAACTCAGGTACGATTATTCCTGACAATATCAAGGACTACATCGTTGCTCTAGAAAATGAAATCAAAGATATCAAAGCAGCACTCGAGCGACGAGATTCCAAGATAACCAACCTCGAGAATAAGATCCAAAACCTTGAAGAGAAGATTACATCGGGAAGTGTTGACACAGAAAATACTCTAAAAGCAGCTATAGCCAGTCACACTGAGCAAATAACAACAATAAATATGAAGGTTGAAGAAGCAATCAAGGACTGGAATCAGAACATGCACACTCGACTAAATGAATACCTTGATTTCCAAGACGACAAAACTGAACAAGATAAGTTGTCTGATGCAGTAATAATAAACAGTCCACACATTCCTAGTGACATAACACAAGCACAGTGCAAAGAAACTGCTATCAGGATAATACAGAACCACGTACAAGTCATCGTGCAAAACAATGAAATCAAAGAAACACGTTTGTTAGGAAAACCAGGAAGTAAACACAGTATAATGATCCGACTTCATTCATACGATAAAAGAAAGGACCTAATTAAATCAGCAATTACAATGAAAAATGGAGTGTACATAAATGAGTGTCTAACAAAAAAAACGTCAAAACCTTCTGTTCAGGCTGAGAAAACTTAAACAGGAA